CTCTATGGTTGTATGTGGAACTTGTTTTGCAGAGCCGGACACGATCCTCGTATTTAAAATCTTCTATGAAGTATTCAGGGGAGGAACCCGCCTTGCAATGCCGAAGACAATCTGCGCGCCGGACTCGTCGTCATTGAAGCCTGGTTCAGGGGCTACTGAGGGAGTCCTGGATTAGGGGGTATCCGGACGGCCGGACTGTCGGACTATGAAGATACAAGATTGAAGACTTCGTCCTGTGTCCGGATGGGACTCTCCTTGGCGTGGAAGGCAAGCTTGGCAATACGGATATGTAGATCTCCTTTCTTGTAACCGACTCTGTGTAACCCTAGCCCCCTCCGGTGTCTATATAAACCGGAGGGTTTAGTCCGCATGACCAAGAACAATCATACCATAGGCTAGCTTCTAGGTTTTAGCCTCTTCGATCTCGTGGTAGATCAACTCTTGTAATACTCATATCATCAAGATCAATCAACCAGGAGTAGGGTTTTACCTCCATCGAGAGGGCCCGAACCTGGGTAAAAACATCGTGTCCCACGTCTCCTGTTACCATCCGCCTAGACGCACAGTTTGGGACCCTCTACCCGAGATCCGCCGGTTTTGACACCGACAATGAGCTTTTCTTTCAGTCGGCCTCGCAAACAACGATGATCATTGCAGCACATTGATGTCACTGTGAGACCCAGGCATGCCAAAAAAAAGTATGGCAACTCAAAAGATCATGTTTTGCAACTTCATCAAGAATGATGGAGGGCTTCTTAATTAACATGACCCTAATATTGTCCTTGTAAAGTCTTCGGACAGTTCTTCCATTTTCAATGCATGTAGTGAAGATATCCAAGCAAACCTAGCACCCTCTTGCTTCTGAGATTGCCAAGAGCCTCTCGGTGCCTGCCACAGTTGGTTCTCTCAGGTACTGAGGTCCGAACACCTCGACTACGGTAGTTGCAAACCTAACCGTGGAATCTTCGCGTGTGCTCTCAGACATCCATAGGTACTCGTCCCACGAACCAGCGACCGTTCCATATGCAAGCATCCAGAGTGTGGCCGTGCACTTATGGTAACTAGAGAAGCCGACCGTTCCCATGGCGTCCTTCTTCAGGATGAAGTAGTCATCGTAGGACCGAATGACATGGTACGAACGATCGAAGACAGTCTTGCTCATCCGAAAACACCGACGAAAATGCTCAGCGAATAGTGCATCGAGGGCAAACTAGTCGGCCATCAGTGTCAAATGGACGCGCGTCCTGTTGCGGTTGAGCACTCTATGACCCTTGATTGAGCCCTTGAAATTGAGAACATGCTCCTCTGCACTGTCCGTGTCTTCAAGGACCACCTCATCATCGTCGTCTCATCGAAGTACTCCTCCTTGTCCAAATCGGAATCCATTGCTAGAAAGAAGAATGGACAACTGTCTTAGCTCTGGCGATTCATCGAACAGTTGCCGGGCATGATGAGAATAGAAGTAGCGGATGGTACCTGGCGTGGCGGTCGAAGGACAGGGGTTGAACGGAGACGAGAAGCGAGATGGAGCCTCGCTAGAGCGCTGGAGGTGACGGAGACGTAGAGTTCCGGCAGAGTGGTGTCGTGGCGGCGGGCGTGGTGGAACGACGGCGAAGGCAAAAGGGAAAGAAGGGAGGAGGAAAAAAAGGAGAGGATGGGGTCGCGGGTTCGGGTAGGGTTTTGGGTGGGCCGGGCTGTCGAATTGCTACGTTTGGCATGTTCAGACTCCCACAAAGTTCCTCTAATTTTGTCTCTAGTTTACAGCAGAAATCGCATCCGAACCTTCTCACGGATCAATACAGGCATGTGTTGGATGCTTTTCGCAGTCACGACAGCATGATCCAGACAGATGCGACGGTGTGTGGGTCTGCCTTAAAGGTGCCATTAGTATCGTTCCCGGCGGCTAAATGTTGTAATGTCGGTGCGCATACTGTATGCACCTGACGGGGAGGGGGACTCAACCCTGCCCCCGCCGGCCGACCGTTTTGTTGGTCACACGTCCGGCTCACCCGGTGCGACGACTATGCAGTGGCTACGCTGCAGGTTATAAAAATGACCAGTGTGGTAAAAATTACAAACCAATATCTCCTTAACCTACCATCTCCGTTCTGGTTTGTTAGTCCCATTATTATCCTGTGTTGAATTTTGATCATATATTTAGTTATAAAAATAATAATGCATGTCATCAAAAATTATTTCGTTGGATTCATATTTGAACATAGTTTCGAATGATACTAGTTTTTGTTACATGTATTAACACTTTGTTAGTTAAATTTGAAATCAAAGTTTAACATAAATTACAAAAGAGGCCAATAATCCAGAACGGAGATAGTATCCGTCAAAAACGAAACCGTGGCAGACGACGGATTCGTCACATCAGAAGTTATATTTTGTGCGTTTGAAATGCCAGAACAAGGGTCACGTCGGAAGGAGCAAGAGAGCGACACATGCACTGTTACAGCTATATGCTAGGCTACGATGTGTCGTCAAACGTATGGAATTGGCCGTCGAGTCACCGTCGAACAGCGCCCACACGCACCTCGCCTGTGGACTCTTTCGATGAGACGAGACAAAAACGTGCGTGCCAACGCCACACATACACTAGCCAGTGTAAAACGGAACGTGGAATAATCGGCTCACCGCAGCGCCGGCCGCCACATACAAAACTGCACCCACCCGGCAAAGAAAGTTTATTTTATGGGTTGACTGAACTAACCAAAAAAGCTATTCCCTCCGTTCATTTTTGTAAGTCGTTTCAGATAACTCAAAACAGATTGTTTTGAACATTGTCTGGAAGCCTTCAAGATCTTATAAAAATGAACAAAGGGAGTATTTTAGTTGACCTACCCTCCGGTCTTATTATTATTCAGCCGGATGGCCACATTAACAAATTTCAAAGCCATCGCTCCTTAGCGTTGATCCGTGGTTTTTCGTGCGTTTCCCCTGACGGTACAAAGGTCATCGAAGACGAAGAGAGCCATCGCTCCTTAGCGTTGATCCGTGGTTTTTTGTGCGTTTCCCTTGACGGTACAAAGGTCATCGAAGACGAAGAGAGCGACCTGGGGTAGGGGGTGGATGAGGCGGTGAAAGCCACGATGGCGGACCTGCTCCTCCCAATTCTCGTTTGATTAGTTCAACAACTTGGTTCTGCTCAAATGGACAAAAAGAAAAGTCTTTCCCATATAGTTTAAGATTTTGTTTACTACTCCCTCCGTTCACTTCATTGTTACAAGATGTTCCAACTTTTCTCTGAATGGATGTATATAGACGCTCCGCGATTTAGTGTGTTTGTACACTCATTTCAATTTATATGTATTCTGTATTAAAATATGCAAAACATCTTATAATGATGAACGAGGGGAGGATGTGCCAAAACTTGGCTTGCAAGTATGTGGGCTAGCCTCCAAAAAAATTGGCTACCACTTCTGCCGGCAGCCAAATTACTACTCTTAAAACTTGTCTGTCTGTTAAAATTTGCCACAACACTTGTATTAGCCGATAGTTATGGCGACGCACAGAGGAACTGGTCGGCGCAGAACGGGCCGCCGGCCGGAAACCGTTGGGACGGCGCGGGAGGACTGGGTCGGGCCAAGTTTGGTGAGGCGGAGGCGGCGGCCGTGTTGTCCGGCCACTGACCACCTGACCTGACCTGGTGCGTGCGGTGCGGTGCAGCATACGACAGCTGGACGTAACGTGGTGTTGTTCGCGCCACACGAAGGCACGCCCACGAGTCGACCACGATGCACTCCGGACCAGCCAGCAGCAGCGAACAAACCGCAGTCGCGCCATAGATTTTTTAGAACCACAGGGGGCAGCGTGTTGACAAAACAGAGCACGCACAGCCGGAGGAGGTTGTTGCACTTGCACTAGGACTAGTAGTATGAGATGAAACACATAATTCTCTGACAATTTAATCAGCTGACAGCGAGGCCCCTTCTTCTTCCCCCGTCTCTCTCTCGTATTTTACCCATTTACTTTCCCTTCTCTAGAAGAAGTTTAAGAAGAAGAAGAAGAAGAAAAGAAAACATTTCAGCGTGTGTGTGTCCACTAGTTGTATCATCATCTCATCTGGTTGGTCTGACTCTGATTAGTCTCCCTCCCCCTCGTACCACTAGTCGTATAATTGCGGGCGGGCTACAGGAGAAATCTACATAGAGTAACTCAAGCCCCCAACCACCTCCCTCCCTCCCTCGCTTCTTCCCCCGTCCCGGCCCCTACCTATCCAATATCCATTTCCTCTGCCTGTGGTGTGCCGCCGCCGATCTGACTCGACTCACCCGGGAAGAACACCACCAAGCAAGCGTGCTCTCTTTCTCCTGCCAGCCAGGTACCCGCCGGCCGTTGTCGTCTACACTCGCCTACCTTGTACAACTAATTCTTTATCAGCAACTCCTTACTTTGTACTAGTCCCAGCATTTGTTTATTTGCCAACTTCTCAAGCCCTCTGGTATACATGTGTCCTTGACAAGCCGCCACCCGATCCATTTCTGCGCCGCACCTTAGCTAGCTAGCCGCTAATACTTACTTACTTTTTTTGTGCCACTTGTTCCGATCTGAGATCCAGACTCACCTGCAACCTGGAGCAAAGCTTCTTGCGCTTTTGTGTCTTTTCTTACCCGGCAGGTGCTTCCACGGTAGATTCGAGGTTCGTTTCATGCCCATCCCTCACCCTCACCCTCACCCTCACCTGCACCTGCCCAATAGACGAAGAAGACAGCCTAGCCGGGTTTTACCTTTTAAGACAGAGAGCCTCACTCCAACTTGGCGTCTCCTGAACTTTCACTTCTTATAAAATCTCAGTCCAATTTGGCCTCCGTTGCACTTTTTTCAGTTTTTATAAAAACTTCTTTATTTTTTTAGGCTAGTTTTTTATTTAAGAAATTCGTTCCAACTTGGCCTCGCCTGCACTTTTTTCAGTTTTTATAAAAACTTCTTTATTCTTCAGTTTTTAGGCTGGAGTTTGACAAGCCTGCCTGCCGCCATAGCAACTGAGTATAATAATGAGCTGGTGTTGCCTCCCAAGAGCCAAGAAACAGCAACAGGAGAAGAATCTCTACTTCCATAGGCAACAGGAGAATCTCAACTCTCAAACCAGCATAAGCGGTAAGGCTTCGTTTTGCGTTGCAAAATTTACCCAACAGCCTGCAATTTTGCTGTTATGACCCATGCCTTAATGGAGTATTATGCCATCACTTTTTGTTCCCACCGCTTATCCCTACGAATAATTACAGACATGCCGAAACTAATAGTTCATCTCTGTCTGCACCTTACCTACCATCCTGAACTAAATTTTGGACAACAGATAACTAAACATCCTTCCAAATGTTGCTGCTTTCAGGCATTTCAGCTGAGAAGAACATAAGGCTCTTCTCCTATGCTCAGCTGAAATCAGCAACCGACAACTTCGACCGAAACAACAAAGTCGGCCGAGGTGGTTTCGGGACAGTATATAAGGTGACATTTTCATCTCCCTTCGCGAGGGAATTGTATGCCTCAAACTTGTTTGCTCTAAGCTGCCAATGCTTTGCATGGCTGATCAGCGTATCTGTGTTCAGGGAACCCTACCAAGCAAGCAAGATGTCGCGGTCAAAGTTCTCTCTGCCGAATCCAGGCAGGGCATCAGAGAATTCTTGACAGAAATCGACGTTATTAGCAACGTGAAGCACCCTAACCTTGTTGAATTGATCGGCTGTTGCGTCGAAGAAGAAAATCGCATTTTGGTGTATGAGTACCTGGAGAACAGCAGCCTCGACCGTGCACTCTTGGGTATGAAAAAATGAACCTATTCTCATGTCACTATATTAACATGGTGATTTTCTTTGTGGCTTAACAATTTACCTTGTGGTTCCACAGCTTCTAACAGTGATCCGGCCAATTTTACTTGGAGCATAAGGTCTTCCATATGCATCGGTGTTGCCAGAGGTCTTGCGTACCTGCATGAAGAGATCCCATCACCGATCGTGCATAGAGATATCAAGGCTAGCAATATACTCATCGACAAGAATTACGTACCCAAGATCGGGGACTTCGGTCTGGCCAAACTATTTCCGGATAATATCACCCACATCAGTACCCGAGTAGCTGGAACGACGTGAGTACATTGCGGTTTCCAGCTCATTTAACTGGAAAGTACAGTAGTTTCTAAATTACTACTGCATTTCCTTCAATTATTATTTCTGGTTTCATCTATCCCATTGTCTACTTACTCCCTGTTTATTCCCCTGTTACCTTGAATTAACTCTGCTTACTGGGTTGCATGCAGAGGTTACCTTGCACCTGAATATGCATGGCATGGTCAATTGACTAAGAAAGCAGACATATACAGCTTCGGGGTCCTTGTAATCGAGATCGTCAGCGGCAAGAGTGGCTCGAGGAGCCTGCTGGCTGATGACAAGTTTCTTCTAGAGAAGGTCAGTTCTTGCTTACTATCATCTGCTTCTTATACCTGCTTATCCGCATTCCACAAATGAAGACATGTACTGTAATACAGCTTCAGAAATCAGATCAACAAGACTGTCCAGTAAAACTAGATTTACTACAGTTATGTGGTGAACTTAGCTTGCAGCATATACCTGACTTTATGCCAGTATTAAAAGATTCACAAGCATGAAATGATTTATATCAGCCTCAGTCTAAACTCTTAAACCTGAACATTCACCGCAGACTTGGGAGCTGTATGAAGCAGGGAACCTCAAGGAACTGGTTGATCCAGATCTTGGGGATTACCCTGATGAGGAGGCCATCAGGTTCATCAAGGTGGCCCTCTTCTGCACCCAGGCGGCGGCGGCGCGCCGCCCTTCGATGCTACAGGTGGTGAAGATGTTGTCCAAGCCAATCCGGATCAACGATAGAGAGCTGACAGCGCCGGGGTACATCAGCGAGTACAATAGCGGTGTCTCCAAGGCGACGGCCTCCAGCGACTCGAGGTTCAAGAACTCGACCACGGCGGATGATTCCGACATGTTCAGCACCGTCGTGCCCCAGACAGTGACCGACGTCAGCCCTAGGTGAAACAAGGCACCAAGGAGGGTGGCCTGCTTTGTTCCTTTATTTCCATTTTGTAGGGTTACAGTACCATAGAGGGCACAGTGTGTCTGCTCATGAGTTTTGCCTTGGTGAGGCAAGTTAGAAGTTGTAAATGATAGATTAGTGATTCATGCCAGGGCAATGTAAAATTGCTGGAAGTATGACGGTAGAATCAGGCATGTCGTCACATTCAGTTAACTTCTCAGCTTTTGGTTTAAGACCATAATGTATTTATCCAGTCTGGGACCAGGAGAAAACAGTAAAGAGTGCAGTTGTTTGCTGTGATACTAAGCTGAATGTTCAGAACTGATCGATACATGGCCATCCTGATGCGGATCTCTACAAAAAAGACCGCTACAGGGTAGGCGACTCCGGGTATTTTTGAAAATAAAAGTTTCCTTCTAAGCATAGTCAAGGTTCTGGTGTTTCTGTAAAAATAAAAGAAGCTACTCTGATGCTGCAGTCTGCTCCTTCTCCGTCTCTGCGGCGGGGCCGTTGGCGGGTGCTTCTTTGCTCTCCACGGGCTGCTTGGCTCCATTTGTTGGTGCTGGTGCGCCGTCTTTCGCACCTTCCTTGGCGCCTTCCTTGGCAGCAGGGGCTGGTGGAGGTTGCATCATGTGCGGTGGAGGAGCATGCTTCAGCTTCACTAGGACCTGGCGCATACGGGAGAGGTCGGTGGGCTTGCCGGGCTTGGGGCCCTGAATGACTGCGATGGATGGCTTCTTGTCCTTGTCTTTCTTGCCCCGCTTCTCGATGGTAGCGATTTCATGTGGGATGAGCTCCGAGATCGATTTCCAGTACTGCTTGTCTGCGCTAGCATGGAATTTCTCCTGGCTTTCAACAAAGATCTGCAGCACACAATGCGTTTTCAGTGATCAATGCAGATTTTCTTACAGAATATATATATACCTATAACTCAGAAGTGCCCCACACGTACCTTCTCTCTTTCCCTGCTATGGACCTTATTCGTCTCACAGGTCTGTATCCTCTTCTCATTGAAAGCTATCTTGAACTCTTCAGCTTCTGCAATTATTTGGGCGCGAAGCTCCTTCTCCTTCTGTTCTTTTTCCTCGAGAACTAGAGCATTTTGCCTGAAACCACAATGAAACTGTTCAAACTATAGCTCACAGACAGAGCAGAATTTACACCATGGAAAGGAAACCAGAAAAAGGATAATTAAAGAAAGAAAAAATGCTATATCGTTCAATTCTACAGGGTACGATTCTCAAAAAAAATTCTACAGGGTACTGTGGTAGGCCAGTCATCAGGGTTCAGATATCAGGACAACAACACAAGGCCATTATCCAAGGACATTGCATGACTAGTTTACTGGGTTCTCTGTATGACAACTTACAACTATCACAGCAAAAATGAAGCATACCATCACAATGCCCGGATCACACAGAGCGCACCACAAATTTGGGCAAAATCATACAACACAAATTCATCGATTCTAGAACTAATATTCTTACCGTCTTAAACACAAGATTAGAGTTGCTGATAGGTATGCAGCCAATTACAAAAAAAATACATGTTCAGAAAAGCAATGCAAATGCAGAGTACAAGAATATGCCACTCAGACACACTTCAGAAACACAAATAATGCATGATCAGCCACTGGCAAACAAGCGGCTGCGTTGTGTTCCAGCTAGCACACACCATTACAGCTTTACTGGTCGGTTTTAATGGAGCTTATTTGGTTTTTCGTGTGCTGGCACAGAAAACTGATGTAATGGAAGTAAAGTATCAGTTACGCTACAGGACATAAGCAACTGAAAGAGACGATATGCACAGCTCATCATCGTGGGGTACTGAGCATGATATCACCAAAATACCAAACTATCGGTAGCATACAAGGTAGGTTAGATAGCTTCACAAGGGAAGCGCATTTATGTTTATGCCCCCCAGCTGTGCAGTTGCACCTTTGCCAACCAACAGGTTAAACCACAATTTACTCTAAGGAACTGAACAAGCGACCCTAATAAAAGATGAATGCACATCCACCACTTTTCTATGCCAACCATGTAAACACCTACTCCAAGTTCAGTGATAATCAGTAAACTGTTAACTTAACCATACGTAAATATCAAAACTTGAACTACCTGCAGAGTTGCAGAGTTGCAATATTGTATATAGACTGTAATTAGCAGATTCAGTTCTACGAGAGAAGTCATAAATCCACACGCACGATGAAACTTGGGAGGTGCAATCATCCACTACTGAATTTCTAGTTCCATCCTAACCGAATCGAGCAAACATAAAAATAGAGGCTTCCGTACACAAAATTGCAACAGAGTTTAGCACCTCCAGGCAGCTGAATCGACTGAACAATAAGGCTATAATAGCAGCACAGAGGGATTAGATCTAATTTCAAGCGCCTGAACCCTAGGTTTGTGAGGGCCAGGAACCGGATAGCAACAGGTAAAAACGGATCGGTGGGGGCGGTTCTCACCTGCGCCACTCGCGGAGGAGGGCCCCCTCCTCCCTGCCCATCTCGGAGGGCGGCGGCAGGACGGCGCCGTCGTCGTCCCCGCCCCCGAAGTCCGAGTCGGGGAAGAAGGCCGCGGGGGCGTACCCGCCGGAGACGTGGCGGACGGGGACGGCTCCGCCGTCGGAGTCGGCGGCGATCTCCTCGTCCACCACCTCCTCCTCATCCTCCTCGGGGCCCGCGTCGGCGAAGGAGCCGTACCCGGCGTCCGCGAAGGAGGCGTACCCTCCCGCGCCGCCGTCTGCCCCGGCCGCGGCGGCGCCCTCGTCGTCCTCGGCGTCGTCGAAGGGGTGGGAGGCGGTGCGCGGGAGCTCGTCCGCGGCGTCGTCGGCGGCGAAGAAGGGGTCCATGGTGGGCTGCGGCGGAGGTGGGGAGGGAGGAAGGGGGAGAGGCGGGGGAAGGTTTTTGGTCGGCGCGGCGCGGGTGCGGTTGGACTGGTGCTGTGGACTTCGCGTGCGTCGTCCGTGGGGTGGGGTGGGGTGGGGGGTGGTGGTTTTGGATTTGGATTTTTTGGACGGTGCGCTTTGCTTGCTCCGCCACGCGCTGCTTTTGTTCACCTTTTTCCTTAGAAAAATGTTTTCTATTCATAACAAACTTTATGCTCCTTTCTTTTTAAAAATATAAAAAAATTCTATAAAGTGAACGCTCGCTCGGTGGCTTTCACGCATGACACATTCTCCGTCACTAAACCGCTCGCACACTCACGCCAACACCTTATCTCATCTACAAACCAGCCCCTTCCTCATCTCTCTCCATGAGGGTCGAGAAAAAAGAGCAATATCTCGCAGCTCCCCAGACCTCGTGGCGCATCCTCCATGTCTTCCGTCGGAACGCCTCACACATGCACCCCCCCTCCTACTACGTTGCCTCTTGTGTTGGTTGCTTCTCACGTCAAGCCGTCTCGGTGCCCTCGGCAACCACCCGACGATGCCGCATCCCCCGATTCCTTACCTCTCTCTTACCGGCGCATTGCCTCCATCCTCTATCGTGTTTTCTTCTTCTGGTAGTCCTCTTCCACACGGTTCAAGTGTTGTCGCATGCTTATCCATGAGAGGTACGAATCATGATTTCTCCCCCTTTTCGGTGTTGGGGAACGTAGCGGAAATTCAAAATTTTCCTACGTGTCACCAAGATCTATCTATGGAGTCATCTAGCAACGAGGGAGGAGTGGATCTACATACCCTTGTAGATCGCGCGCGGAAGCGTTCAAGAGAACGGGGTTGATGGAGTCGTATTCGTCGTGATCCAAATCACCGATGATCCTAGCGCCGAACGGACGGCACCTCCGCGTTCAACACACATACGGAGCAGCGACGTCTCCTCCTTCTTGATCCAGCAAGGGGGTAAGAGAGGTTGATGGAGATCCAGCAGCACGACGGCGTGGTGGTGGAAGTAGCGGAATTCCAACAGGGCTTCGCCAAGCGCTGCGGGAGGAGGGAGATGTGTCATGGGAGGGAGAGGGAGGCGCCAGGGCTTAGGTATGGTTGCCCTCCCTTCCCCCCCACTATATATAGGGCCAAGGGAGAGGGGGAGGGCGCAGCCTTGCCCCTTCCTCCAAGGAAGGGTGCGGCCAAGGGGGGAGGAGTCCATCCTCCCCAAGGCACCTCGGAGGTGCCTTCCCCCTTTAGGACTCTCCCCTCCTCTTGTCCCTTTGGCGCATGGGCCTCTAGGGGCTGGTGCCCTTGGCCCATATAGGCCAAGGCGCACCCCCTACAGCCCATGTGGCCCCCGGGGCAGGTGGCCCCACCCGGTGGACCCCCGGGACCCTTCCGGTGGTCCCGGTACAATATCGGTGACCCCGAAACTTGTCCCGATGGCCGAAATAGCACTTCCTATATATAATTCTTTACCTCCGGACCATTCCGGAACTTCTCGTGACGTCCAGGATCTCATCCGGGACTCCGAACAACTTTGGGTTACCGCATACTAATATCTCTATAACCCTAGCGTCACCGAACCTTAAGTGTGTAGACCCTACGGGTTCAGAAGACATGCAGACATGACCGAGATGACTCTCCGGCCAATAACCAACAGCGGGATCTGGATACCCATGTTGGCTCCCACATGTTCCACGATGATCTCATCGGATGAACCACGATGTCAAGGACTTAATCAATCCCGTATACAATTCCCTTTGTCTAGCGGTACGATACTTGCCTGAGATTCGATCGTCGGTATCCCGATACCTTGTTCAATCTCATTACCGGCAAGTCTCTTTACTCGTTTCGTAACACATCATCCCGTGATCAACTCCTTGATCACATTGTGCACATTATGATGATGTCCTACCGAGTGGGCCCAGAGACACCTCTCCGTCACACGGAGTGACAAATCCCAGTCTCGATTCGTGCCAACCCAACAGACACTTTCGGAGATACCCGTAGTGTACCTTTATAGCCACCCAGTTACGTTGTGACGTTTGGCACACCCAAAGTATTCCTACGGTATCCGGGAGTTGCACAATCTCATGGTCTAAGGAAATGATACTTGACATTAG